AAAAAATGCAGAATTTTTATTTCCTGTTTTATATTTTCTAAATTTTAATTTTAAATATTTTACTTTTACTAATTTATCAATTTATTCGGTTACTTTTATTAAAGATAAAATTGTTATTTTACATTTCTTCTAAATGAATAAATGGCATTAGATCAAGAAGTGGCACAACAGATCAATTTTTTTTTTAAATGGCATTTCAGCCTTTAGCTCGATTCGTTCGCCTAGTCTCGCATAAATCCCCAAACTTTCCCCATTAGACATCCCCAAACTTTCCCCAATAGACATCTCTCAGATTCTTGATCGCTTCTGTCTCTTCGTTATCTCCACTTCCGTTAAACAAGATTGTCTCCCAATGGTTCTGGAACCTTGTTTCTTCCTCACCGACTTCGATCTTTCCATGGACTTCGACCACAAGTCGTACGATGCCTGAGCTGCGTAGCCACGCACGCAGAGATCGGGCCACTAAGAAACCTAACCAAAAGCCAATTGCTTTGAGGAGAAACCCGAGGTGGCAGAAGAGAGTTGTCGCGGAGGATCGGAGCGAGAAGAAGGAACCGATCGTAGAAGCAGAGAAGTTGGGAAGTGAAACGGCGCCGTTGTGGGTACTGAAGGAAGAGAGGAAGACCAACAGATTAGGGTTTTAAGAGGAGATAACAAGAAGATGGATGAATTCGACAGTGGCGCCCAAGCACCTGTGCCCGATGATGAAGGAAACGCTCCTCCACTTCCTGTTAAAGTACTCTTTTTGTGACGATTGTCTCTTGCATTGTGTGTGATGTGCTTGATTAATAGAAAGCTGTTAAATTGGGGCATGTTTGATTCTTTCTGCTATAAGTTTATTTGATTTGACTCGTTGGTTATATATATTTTGCTTGTTGCTACAGATTCAGGTTGGTGGTTCCCCAATGTACAAATTAGATAGGAAGCTAGGCAAAGGAGGTTTTGGACAAGTTTATGTTGGTCGAAAGATGGGTGCCGCGAGCACTGTTAATGCTAGATTTGGCCCTGGAGCTATGGAGGTATGCTGTTTTTGTTTCCGAATTTACCAGCTTCCTTTCGATTTTGTGTGGTTTGTATGTTATCTTTTGTGTGTGTCTACTTTTGTAGGTGGCTTTGAAGTTTGAGCATAGAAGCAGCAAAGGATGTAGCCATGGGCCACCGTATGAGTGGCAAGTTTACAAGTGAGCTTTGATGGTTTCTTGTATTTTGGCTTTAGGACATTTCCGCTTGTTGGTTTATGGAAAGGATTTAATAACTAATGTATGCTTTATCATCTGTTTGTTGTCCAGTGCACTTGGTGGCAGTCATGGTGTGCCACGAGTTCATTATAAAGGCCGGCAAGGTGATTTCTACGTGATGGTATGTTGAATTTAGCTAGGTTTTAACAAGAGCAAATTCTGTTCATAGCTACATGCGGTGTGACTAATTACAGTTTTTAATCTTTCATACAGGTTATGGATATTCTAGGGCCTAGCTTATGGGATGTTTGGAATAGCACCACTCAAGCGTAAGTACTCTACCTTAGAAGCTCACTTCATTTTGTAGCATCTGTAGATTTTGTTGAATACTCACAAGATGCTTCGTTTGTTTTATACATTCCAGGATGTCAACAGAGATGGTTGCATGCATTGCAATTGAGGCAATATCCATATTAGAGAAGATGCATTCTAGAGGGTAATTCTCTTATTATTGTTGCTTATTGTGGTACTGCTACTGCAACTGCAACTCTCTTTGTTTAACCGATGCTCCTGTTTCTGGCAGATATGTGCATGGTGATGTAAAACCAGAGAACTTTCTGCTTGGTCCTCCTGGAACTCCTGAAGAAAAAAAACTTTACCTTGTAGACCTCGGCTTAGGTATACTTTTATCTTTTGGAAATATGAGTAAGTGTACTTTGCTTTCTTTGTGATGCTTACCCAATCCGTTGATCTTGCAGCAATCAGATGGCGCGATACTGCAACCGGACTACATGTTGAATATGACCAGCGTCCTGATGTTTTTAGGTAATTTAATCAAACGTGTGAGATTGATTCTTTTTAGGGACTTCAATCTTATGTTACTTATCAATGTGTTGGCTTTTGCATTCTCAGAGGAACTGTACGTTATGCTAGTGTACATGCGCATCTTGGGAGAACTTGTAGTCGGAGAGATGACCTGGAATCTCTTGCTTACACTCTTGTTTTCCTTCTTCGAGGCCGGCTTCCATGGCAAGGTTATCAGGTATGGGTCTCTAAAGTAATTGATTTTTATTTTTCCTTTTCCTTGGTCATGTTTCTTGGTCATGGACTCGAAAGTTATTAACTTTTTGTTTTTGTTTAGGGAGAGAACAAAGGTTTCCTTGTTTGCAAGAAGAAGATGGCTACTTCCCCAGAAACTCTTTGTTGCTTCTGCCCTCAACCTTTTCGTCAGTTTGTTGAGTATGTGGTCAATTTGAAGTTTGATGAGGAGCCTGACTATGCTAAATACATCTCCCTTTTCGATGGAATAGTCGGCCCAAACCCTGACATTAGGCCAATAAATACTGATGGTGCACAGAAGGTGATACAATGATCTCCTTTACGACATGTTTACTGATGTTCTGCTATCTAGGTCTTATCTAGAATCCCTGAAGCTTGTTCGTTTTTGTTTGTATGAAGCTCATACATCAAGTGGGCCAAAAGAGAGGGAGGCTAACAATGGATGAGGAGGACGAACAGCCAACAAAGAAGCTCAGATTGGGAATGCCAGCAACACAATGGATCAGCATTTACAGTGCTCACAGACCAATGAAGCAAAGGTCCCATCTTTGACTATACCTGATAGTTCTGGAAATGTATCGTAGATGAGCATGTACCTGACATGTTTGTCTTTTATCTTGGTGCAGATATCATTATAATGTTGCTGATATAAGGCTTCCACAGCACATCGAGAAAGGAAACGAGGATGGGTTATATATAAGCAGCGTGGCTTCTTGCTCAAATCTCTGGGCTGTAATCATGGATTCAGGAACTGGGTGTACTGCTCAAATTTACCAGCTATCACCTAGCTTCCTCCACAAGGTAGCTTCATTCAATATTCTCGGGTAACTTTTACTAGTTTATCGTGTCTGCTCTGACGCTGTCACTTCCGTTTGTGACATATTCCAACTTGTGCATTTTGTAGGAATGGATTATGGAAAATTGGGAAAAGAATTTCTATATTACAGCAGTAGCAGGAGCAAACAATGGGAGCTCGTTTGTGGTTATGTCTAAGGGTAAGAATGTTGTTTTTATTCCTTTTTATCTCTGTTTGATTATTGTTTCACAGTTTTCATTCTTTTGTATTCAGGGACACCTTATTTACAGCAATCCTACAAAGTCAGCGATTCTTTTCCCTTCAAGTGGATAAATAAAAAGTGGAGGGAAGGGTTTTATGTTACATCAATGGCAACTGCTGGAAGCAAATGGGGGATTGTTATGTCTCGTGGAGCTGGTTTTTCAGACCAGGTTTTTTGAAGTTTTATCTTTTTGTGTTTTGGGGGTTTGCCTTGAATAGATTACATATATATATATATATATATATATATATATATATTTTTGTGATTACAGGTTGTCGAACTAGATTTTCTGTACCCTAGTGAAGGTATACATCGTAGATGGGATAATGGCTACAGGATTACATCAACCGCTGCAACTTGGGATCAAGCTGCTTTTGTTCTTAGTGTGCCAAGAAGGAAGCCTACAGATGAGACACAGGAGACTCTTAGAACCTCTGCTTTTCCTAGCAATCATGTCAAGGTTTGGTTTTGCTAGTCTCTTCATCTCTCCATGTCTATTGTTATTATGCTCTCCATCTTCGTAAGGTGTAAGTAACATCTTGTCTTTTGTTCTGCAGGAGAAATGGAGCAAGAATCTTTACATTTCATCTATTTGTTATGGTCGAACAGTTTCCTGAAGTTTTTAATTTTGGTTAGGGATGCATCTCAGTTTAGCTTTTTTACCGTACATCCGCTCAGGGAGAAAGAAACAACCGTTGTGGTCAGTGATGATATGGGCTTAGGTGAATATTTTTAGCAAGGATGAATGAAAGATGTACTTCACTACTGCTGTAATGTAGTGTAACATATGCTAAAATTACCCTTGTGTTATGAAAGAAGTTTAAATTTCTTGGATGAAAAAAAGAAGGAAAAGCCTAATCTTATATATCTTCAAATAATGTATTTAAGTCATGGTTTGATTGTATATGGAAGCAAGAAAATGGATGTTTCTGATATTTATCATACCCGCCTTCAAAGTTTTTTATTGTGATCTTGTGTGTGTTCTTGCATGCTGTTTTATGCCAATCATGTAGGAACCAATGAATTCAACCGTAGAAGGGGGTCTTTGAACCTTCCGGTTATGAGAAAACCAAAAGAAAGCAACTGATTTTGTGGCATAACCTAAGATTTACACATCTTGATAGTCATCTACTGCTTAAAATGAGTTGATGTTGGTCTACAGATGTTTTTCTGGAAATGTAATGGTTTGTTTTCTGAGAGAGCCACACATTGCCAATTCTAAGTTGTGTCATGTGGGTTATTCCTACTTACCTTACTTTTAGCTTTGTTGTTGTAGAACTTCTTCACTATTGTCTTTACTACTGATCTGCTGCCGCTTGTATGCAAGGTCTTATTGTTATTGTTAGAAAGATGACGATGAAAAGTATAGTAAAGACAAATTGAATGCACTTGCTTTGTGAGAGACATTAGTTGTGAAGTTGCTTGATCATTTGATTTGCCCAAAAGATTTGTAGTGGCACAACATCCAGTCTTTATCATCCTTTGTAAGCCCACAACAAGCCACAAAGCTCGAACCATGTTTACAACTCATTCCTTAGACTTTCCACTTCTTTTCGAAAAATTAGCATACATTGTGCATATATGTCCAATATTCAAGAGACGTTTTTTCTCAAAACTAAAACGTTCTTGTAAAGCCACGTAATGCTAAAGAGAGAGCCAGCGTCAAATTACGTGAGTTTTGAATGCATTTAAGTTTACGCAAAACAGATAGAGAGATTCTAGTTTCCCCAATTAAGAGAACTTGTACTATTTATACATTTATACTCATATAGTCTTAACTAGAGCTCCTCAACATCTTGCTTTCATGTGTCTACATATATAATAATGTTTGACTGTTTGGTTACTACTTTATAATCTGTACACAAGTCCATTTATGCTTTCACAAGCTATTTTGTAATATTTCATCAGAGCATAGAAGGATACTAGGATGGTACTGGTTAGGGAAGAAGAAGTTTAACGTATCAACCCTTTATTTATACGGTAATGGTGGAAATTGATCCGTGACCGTGAGTAAGACCTGTTTTAATACATTCTCAGAGATTGTCATCTGCGACCTGTGAGCCTCGAACTGCCCAGAAAGACGACGGCTTCAACTTCTTGTTTGTCGCTGTGAAAAGCCAACCCAGCTGAGTTTCACACGTTGCACAGTTTGCAATCGTCCACGCATACCTGTTGTCGATTTCAAGAGACATGTATAAGAGTTATTATGGTACATTGATTTAAAGTGTTTACTAACAACAAATTGCTCCAGATGCTCTATATGCTAATGCTCTGAAAATTTGGCTTGTTTTAAAACAAAGCTAGTTTTTAAGATCGTACAAGTCCGAATCTCCCTTAGGACTTGTAATAGTGATCGATCTTTAATTATAAAGTATAACGTATAGTAAAGCAAGTATTAACAAAAATCTCTTACCCAGGAAACCAGCTGTCTTTTTTAACAGCTCTACCACTAAGAGCTATGTCGTTTGCTTTGTAAAAAGTCATGATCTCATGGACATAGCCATATGGGTTAACGTAGGCACCGAGAGGACCGTCACTAGACATAACCAACATGTCACTTCTTCTTGCTATAACAGTCTGCATTAACATGAAAAACGTATCAAGTGAACCAAATATACAACGGAGAGGAAGTAAGAAACGATATTTACCATGCTCCTTGATATTATTACCTGACAGTGTTTACATCGAACACGATCAAAACTCTTAAGCAATTCTATTTCTCGCTGTAATCTGTAAGAGACTCCGTTAAGCTCCAAGAGCTCTTGTCTAATTGACTCAGAGACAGGAATTTTACTAGCGATGAAGAAGGATAGAATATCTGGTTTATTCACTATAGCGTCCATGTTTGGAACCCCAACAATCTGCTTCCACAGATCTGCATGTGATCTTAACATTAGCAGAATCTTAATATGTGTGCTGCTTGTAGAAAAAGAGCAAAACAAACAAGGAATTTACCAGCTGCTCTTTGAGCAAGATAATACGCGTCGTACATCCCATAAACCCAGAATGGCCAAAATGCTCTTGGGACCATACGGAAACGCGTAAGATTAGTATTTTTCCGGAGACTTGTTAGGTTATTTTGCTTCTGACCTTGTGAAATAGAAGTCTTGCCATTTGCGGATTGTCCATCTTCCTCTTTGTAGTCTTGGCCAGAAGATAAACATCCAATCGACATAGAGCTGAATGCATGAGATCCACTAGATTGGATATCAGATGTTCTGTCTACTTGATCATCATCACTACTAGTCCAGTCATCCATTGTCGAGTCAACTACTGAATAATGAAGTCTTTTTTCTGACGGAGAAAGAGCAGTTTCAAAACTTTCCTCAGAATTTGCTACTGACTGTTCGTCTGTATCCCTAAGAGGTGCGGATAAAACCATTGTGCTTGAGTTATAGCGACCTCGCAAGTTGCTTACCGGTACCAGCTTCCCAAACGCATCCCTGGGAGTCCTCAAAGGTACATCTTCCTCAACAATTTGAACCTCTCCGCAAGGCTGCAAGAAGGATTTAATGAGAAATAAGCTTTCTTACACAATAAACAAAGATCTATTCCCCAAACTAATAACGAGGAGAATGTCCCTACGAATCCTTCAACGTCAGTCCAGCGACGCTTTAAACGGAACCGTTGTTGTCCACGAGTAATAACATTGAATGAACCATCCCCAAGTCGACGGTATTGTCGTATCTGCGATTACCAAGGATAGTAAGTTATATAATAAGATCAAATTCATTCCCACAGATAAAATAGAAAATAACAACAATTCCGTTTTCCCAACTTCCTTCATCAAGACCCCTGTCTCAAGCTTATCTCCAGAAACATTGGGCAAAGAATTAAAAGTCCACAGTTATTAGGCAAAGAAATCGATCAATCAGGATGCCAATTGTTTCAGATTTGTTATTGTCACCACCAATCATATCTAATTCCAAATACAAAATACAGTATTTGTACATTATTTTGTACTTGGATATATGTTTTAAATTGGCAGATGCTCTAAGAGGTCTAAAATGCTGCAACCTAATAAAGAGCCTGAGGTCTAATTAATTGGCAAATATTTCAAAATGAATCTAATTATACGATTGTCAATTCACTCTATAAGAACCACCTGAAGCTTTCTTGAGATGAGACAAAGCAACACAGGTTTTGTAAACATAAACCTGAAATATAAAACTTCATCTAATAATCATATGAAAGAAAAGAACATAAGAAAATATAGAAAGATTACCTCAGCGGTTGTCCCAACACTAGCATACTTGAACTGAGCACCTTCTCTGTAAACACGGATCTGAAGAATAAGGATAGACTTTAGATGTTTAACTTTTTTTGTAATATAGAACCCCAAACAAACAAAGCAAAAGATGAAGTAACATACCACACCTATCGTACATGGAGCGTTAGCTTGGTTCAAAGCTCTCTCAATAGCAGCCAAGAAACTAGACTGAATAATTCTAAGTGGAAGTGTTGCCTCTGGAAATAAAACCACTCCTGAAGTATTGTAAAGCAGCAGTGTCAATGTCTTACATAGAAATCTGAAGAAGACAAATATGGTGCTTGTTCAATTCAAGTTACATACATATATTAATGAACGTGCATCTCAAATACTTCGCCTAAAGCTCCAGATGTAACACCACTAAAGGGAGAATTTTATCATCACGTCAAATATTATGATTACCTTCAAGATAGAAAAGTGGGAGCTTCAAAATGGTGCCTCCATCCACAAAAGCAATCCTGTTTTGAGTGTCTTCAACCTCTGCAAAACAGCGTAAGAAAAACGTAAGCTCAAATGTGACAATGATAAGAAAGCACCACAGCAAATCACAAGACGAGAGAACCCATTCATACCGCCAAGATAGGTATGTAAAGGAGCCAAAGTAGGGTTGAAAATAAGTTCATCAACATCAAGATCTTCACTGTCAAGCACCATATGCAAATGTCAAGAGTCGAATGCATAGAAATGAAAACAAAATTTTCATTCATCATAAATCCGTTGTCTACGGAACCGCAAATTCTCAACAATTTAAACATCACGAGACCTAAGTATGCAGAAACTGGAGAATCAAAACTAGTGATACACTATCAATTCCAACACTGAGCCCACGCACGGTCACTAGAAAGACGAATAGGTGACAAGTAAATTCGAAGAGAGATTGCTCACGAAAGATGCGTGTGGGAGGTAGAGCGAAATGCGGCGAGATCATCATCTTCGTCGGACTCTCGAAAATCTTCGACTTCCTCCACTTGTAACTCCTCGAAATCAAGCTCCCGAATCTGCTCCATCTGGAGCCGCTCTCTCTCTAGAATCCTGTCGTCGTCCATCTCTTTCTCTCTCTATCTATCTCCTTCTGTGTCTCGTTGCGTTTACCCGCCAGAGAGACCCCTCCGCCACCTCCGCGTATTCCAGAGATGGCCGTCTCGTTTGTCTTCGTCCTGGTTAGTAATCGGGCCGGTTTCTGGATCTATTACCCGGCCTAGCTATCCCGGGTATATATTTAGATCGATAAACCACTTTAGAGGTTTTTCCATTCTTTTTTATCTAATTTATTATATAAAATAACTTTTAAATCCACGCTCTGTATTAATAGTTTACTGTAATTTTTTTAGCTAATATTTTTTAAATTATTCTAACTATAATAGATTTGTAGAAATTTTCTTTAGATAAAATAATATAAAATATAATGTATAATTTTCTCCTATTTTTATTTATAAAATTTTAAAATTTATTAAGTAAAATAAAAATAATGACACTTATCGACTGGATACGTTTATGTAGAAAAGAGTTTGTTTGCTAAGATCTTGGTGTTTTATATTGTTTTCCTTATGATTTTTCTGTGTTCAAATATTTAGTATTTTTATTAAATATCTCATTGATGTTGTGTATCTATGCATATATAATTCAACATTCATGTTAATTTGCATTAGTTTTGTTGGGAAGCTACAATGACCGTGCAAGGCTAATTCTTTCTTCTTCACCAGATATTCCACGTATTTTACCTTATATCTCAATTCGGTTTATCATTGAGACCTTTTTATAGTATAATATTTGAGAATTTTAGTTTTAAACTTGTAGGATCGATGGTGTGGAGTCTTCTTATTATTTTTTACAGTTTTTATTTTTATTTTGTGTGCCTTCAGCATGTTTCGATTTGAATATTTTATCTAGATATACTAATTTGAGTTTGATTTATAACTCTATCATACTTTATTATTTAAATAGAATTTTAGAAAGCGTTACTTATGTGTTGTTAATGTTGGCTCAGATATAATTCGTAGCTGATCAGATTTTACTATTTGTTATATTTCGAATGTAAATTTAGTTATGTAGTGGTTTTTTTGTTAGTTTTTAAATTTAAAGCATCCATTGTTAGTCTTTGAATATTTAGAAAATATAATTTGTTTAGAAACTCGTGTAACTTATTGCAACTTTAGATAGTTATTCATTGATACCAATACTTTAGAAATCAGAAATTTTCTGAAACTAAATTTCTAATTAATGTTGTTTTAAAATTTATTTTGGTACTTTATATCTTTTGATAATAATTTTATATTTTAGTTCATACAATTTTTGTTTTTTTGTATATTTGATATAATTAGAAAATATATATATATTTGATTAAACTTTTTTGTTGTTGATTTTCTAAATAGGTTGCATAGATATCAAATTAATTTTTTTACATGAATATTTTTTCTTTATTAAATTTGGTTTTTTATATGAATTTTCATTTTAACTATAATGTTGATTTGACATGCTATAACTGATCATTTTAGATCTTATGTGAAACTTCTCTCAAAAGTTTATAGCGTCATTTGTTTTATATAAAAGAATTTTAAAGATAATGTGTAGTTTCCTCCTGTTTTTTGTTTATAACTTTATTAATCTTATTAAGTAAAATATATAGTAATAACACCTATCAAATTATCCAACTTCAACATGCATACATGTTTTATTTAGAGAATGATTTTCTTGCTAAGATCTTGGTGCTTTGTTTTGTTTTCCTTGGGATTTCTATAGTTCTTCTTTCTTTAAATTTTAAGTGTTCAAATATTTAGTCTGTAATTAAATGTTTTATTGATGTTGTGTACATATGCATATATAATTTATGATTCATATTGATTCGCATTTAATTTAGTTGGGATGTTGCAATGATTATGCAAAACTATTTCTTGCTTCTCTACCAGATTTTCCATGAATATTAGCTTATATCTCAGTTTATCATTGAGATATGTTTTAATTGCATCTTACTATTTAATCATTTTGAAACATGTAGGATGGTGTGGAGTCTCCACATTTTCTTTTACTGTTTTTATTTATCTTTTGCGTGTTTTATTCATGTTTTTATTTGAATAGTCTATCTAGATATATCAATTTGAGTTTGATTTATAACTTTGTCATACTTTATTATTTAGGTAGAAATTTAAAAAGTTTTACTCATGTGTTGTTCATGTAGACTTAGATATAAGTGGTAGCTATGTATAAAAAATAAGATTTTACTACTTGTTATATTTTGAGTATTAAGTTACTCGTATAGTGCTTTTCACTGTTAGTTTTTAAACTAGACGCAGTCAACATGTTAGTCTATGAATATTTAGATAATATGTTTGATTTGAAAACTCATATAATCTATTACAACTTTAGATGGTTATTCATAGTCGATACCAATACTTTAGGAATCAGAAATTTTCTGAAACTAAATTTTAAACTAACTTTCTTTTTAGATTTGGTTTTTTTGTTACTTTACAGTTTTTACAGTAATTTTATATTTTGTTTTAATCTATACAATTTTTTTTTTTGCATGTTTGATATACTTAAAACATTTTGTTTCTAAATTAGGCTCTTTTGTTGTTGATTTTCTAAATAGGTAGCATAGATATCAAGTTAATTTTTTTTACGTGAATATTTTGTTTTGTTAAATTTGATTTATTGATATTAAGTTTTATTTTAATTATAATACTGATTTGACATGCAATAACTGATCATTTCAAATAATTATTTTAGTTAGTTGAATTTTTGTGTTGATTTCCCCAAAAATTAGGGTATATCAAGTTTTTGATGAGTTTTCATTTGTTAATTTAACATGAATGTTTTTCTTTGAAGCATTGATAGTTTTGAGACATAACATTTTTTTCTCTCAGTTAGACTTTTTAATATTAGTTTCCTAGTTAGCCTAAATATCAAATTAATTTCTTTTTTGATGATTTTATTTTAATGTAAATGTAGTTTTTCTTTGTTGCATTTTAATTTAATTGTATTGATATTTTGTAAGACATAATCTCTTTTATCTTAAATAATTAGCATTCATTTACTTTTACATATCTTTTACGTTGTTAATTTGAGTGTTTGATATTAATTTTCATTTTATTTAAAGTGCTGATTTTATTAAATTTTTGTGTGTTTTAATTAAATTAATTAATTAATTGTATTTAACCTTTTGTTTAATAAAAATACTGATTTGAGCCAATAAAAAAAATTCAGTCATATTGATATCTCTATTAGTTATACCATTTTTGCATGTATTCATCACTAGTTTTAGTCTCTTAACATGCATATTTTGCTTCTTCTTGTTCCATTTGCATACATTTAGAAGTTGGTGTAGTTTTAGGAGTTGCATTGTATTTTACATAAATTTGGAGTTTTATTCAGGTACTAGAAGGAGTTTGGAGACCAAGTGGTGCAATGGATGTGAGCTGGGAATGGGGCAAGGAGAAGGACAAGGTCGGATGGGCCAATATCGAGCAGGATATCGATGTGATCTGATCGATATGGAGCATACTGAGGTGAATATCGATGACTCCACGTCGATACAGTAGGATCATAGTGTACAAAAACAACATATCGACAAGAAGGACCTCAATACACCAAGGAGGATTCATATCGATCAGTGTATCGATCACCCAAGTCAATACACCAGAGACATGACAATATCGAAGTGCTATATCGATATGATGCTGCTCCATATGCTTTAGGAAAAGGGCGATTGTATCGATGTCTACACCTGGAGAGTCAAACTGATACACCCTTGAAGCCTTGTGTATCGACCACCATATCGACTAGGAGCATGTCGATACAAGCACAAGAAGACCTAGTATCGATGTCTGTATCAATGTATGAAGCCGATATGGTCCACCCGAGTTAGCTTTAATTCAGTTTATTCTTGGTTTATTAGGAGTTTCTAAGCCTTCCTATAAATACCTAAGTCCTAAAATGGTTAGGCAACTTAGATCTTATTATTTTCCTACTGTTCTAGCATTAAAAACCTTTCTTTTTTCAGCTTTACTTTGTAAGAACTAGTTTGATTTAGTGAATTTCTGCACTTGCCTTTAATCTATTCTTGCTTATTTTGATTTCTAATCATGCTTAACCATTATTTCTCTTTGGAATCTGTGGTTTTGACTATGACTAGTCAGTAGTCTTATTTAGGGTTTTAGACAGGATAAATTAGAGGGGTTTTAGGATTAGATTAGTGATGTCTTATGCTTAATATGATTGTCTTCTCTCTATTAGATGTGCTTAACACTAGATTAGTCTTGTCCAGACTTGTTTAGTATCTTGGCTTTCTCTTATCCCTGATAAGTGTTTAATGAAATGCTGCGATGAGTCTTTTAGAGGATTTGTTCTCTTAGCCTAAGGAATTAGATGTCTAAGGTGCACTTTGGCTTTATAGGATTGGAGTTCTGTTTAAATGCTTGCTGATTCATGTGTTTGAGTAATGGAAATTGTCTTGAATTTATGTTTAGTAAAGTGATTAGTATCAAAGAATTGAGCTAGTTATAGTTGTTAATCCTATGCCTAGAAGATAATATTGTTTGAATGGTTTTGAAGCATTGCTAATTTAGTTCTAATCGCCTCTTAGCCAATAACCCCCATCTTAGATCCTTGCTTTAATTTATTTCAATTTCCTGCTTTGAATCTGTGTTGCTTAGTCATATTTAGTTTGATTACAACTGTTTTCTTGAATTTGGCTTGACTTAAGTGAAGTATTGTATTTTTAGTGTTTTATGAACCCAAATGGATTGACACCTTTCATACTGCAATCACATGAGTGTGTTAGAATTTGATTAGGCAAAATCCTGTTATCAAATTGGCGCCGTTTCCATATGGGTTTAGTTTAAGCATTACTATTTGTGGATTGCTTGAGATTAAGCTGCTATTTTCTGTTTAGCACTGATTTACAAGTTTGCCCTTCCTCTGGGTGTATGAACTTGAGGTCTAGAGGCAATCAAAACCTGCTGGATTATCAACACAACATTCTGCAAGTGGAGATAGCATTAAGAGCAACAAGGGAAAGAGATAGACTGCAAAGGTTTCATCAGCTCAACATGGAGTATGGTATTGATGATCAGCGATTTCAGGGACCATCAGGAGCACAAGGTGTTCAGAGAGTTGCTGGTGTTCAGGGACAGCAAGGAGTCCAAGGTGAGCAAGGTTAGAGAGGACGAGCACATGCTGCACGCCCTATGAGGCCCATTGGTGTTGGCGATGCTCCTAACGCCTATAACAACAGGACATGTATCATCCCTCCACCAGTGTAGAACAACAACTTCGAAATCAATTCTGGTTCGATCTCTATGGTTCAGAAC